GACATGTATTAAAGAAGTATCGGACAATGTATTTAGGCCCACTGATTTTTAGGATAAATAAAATGAGCAAAAGAAGAAAAAGGTCACGTGTGCGTAAAAGCGTGTCAGTATTTGGATTTGAAGAAATGAATTAAAGTTTTGACATTAATATTATTTGTGAAGCATCACCTTCACATAGAATTATTTTTATAATTTTTGCTTGATTCCTTCCATGAGAAAATGCAATTATAGACCTGGCGCGCGTATCAAAGAAGTATTTGGCAATTGCGTCCAGTCTCATTGGTTTTCGAGGTAAATGAAATAAGCAAAACTGGAAAAGGTCATGTGTGCGTAAATGCGTGTCAGTATTTAATTTTGAAGAATTGAATTAATTTTTTGACATTAATATTATTTGTGAAGCATCACCTTAACATAGAATTATTTTTATAATTTTTGCTTGATTCCTTCCATGAGAAAATGCAATTATAGACCTGGCACGCGTATCAAAGAAGTATTTGGCAATTGCGTCCAGTCTCATTGGTTTTCAAGGTAGATGAAATAAGCAAAACTGGAAAAGGTCATGTGTGCGTGAATGCGTGTCAGTATTTAATTTTGAAGAAATGAATTAATTTTTTGACATTAATATTATTTGTGAAGCATCACCTCTACGCAGAATTATTTTTATAATTTTTGCTTGGTTCCTTCCATGAGAAAATGCAATTATAGACCTGGTACACGTATCAAGGTTGTATTTAGAAATTGCGTTCGTTCTCCTTGGTTTTCAAGGTAAATTAAATGAGCAAAAATGGAAAAGGTCATGTGTGCTTAAAAGCGTGTGTGAGTATTTAATTTTTGATAAAATTTTTGACATTTATTATATCTATGGGGAATCATCTTTACACAGAATTATTTTTTGATTCAAATTTAGTTCCTTCTATTACTCAGAAAGGCATGGCTAAGATTGGTTCTTATGTACAACTGTAATGAGATTTTTATGTTTGAATCGCACAAAAAGAGATAATGTCACATGTGCGTGAATGCAAGTCAATATCTTATTTTAAAAACTGAATTATGATTTTGACATTTTCATAAGCTTTAAACCATTGCCTTTCCACATACATATTTATTTATTTTAACATGATAACTTTAAACACGTTCATAACTGAACGGTCAATGTGAGTTGAATTAAAATAAAAAATATCAATTATCTGCGCATTTTCGTTATATTACGTCATACGGGATTTCGTGCTTTAAGTGGGCTGAAAGTGGAAATGGCACGTGTGCGAAAACGTTTGTTATCAATTCATCTTTCAAAATACATTTTCATTTTTTACATATCTATGATCTATGATATACAGGGTGTCCCAAAAAAAGGAAACCAGCAATAGATTGCTTATTTCTCATATATGAATAATGATAGGAAAATTTCACAGCTACCATCTGATAGATTATGATGTCCTCTTTCTTATGATACCAAAGTTGTCTATTTTTCTTCACGGATGACTGAGTTATAAGGGATATAAGTGACCATGTCAGAAATGAGTTTGTACCACTTTCAGCCAAGTCAATTTCACCATCATAACAAAGTGATAAGTAACAACAAACATCAGGATATCACTCTTTTACTCATTTATTCCAATTAAAATTACACATATCATATTTAACACCCCTTTTAAATCCCAATGTCCATTCAAAATTGTTTTAACCCTAGTGTCCTTCAACATGACCCCCATTCCTTTCAATGCAAATGTCTGCCCTTGATCTCATCGCACGTACTGCATCCCCGATGATGTCTCTCTGTCCCCTTAAATCCTCCACTGCTGTGACAATCCTGGCCCTTAGATCATCAACGTCTCTTGGTGGTGTTGTGAAGACTTTACCCTTGAGATAACCCAAAAGGAAGAAGTTGCAGGGTGTCAGGTCTGGGGATCTCGATGAACTCAATCTCGTGGTTCAAGGCAATCACTCTTCTGTTGAACAGCGCCCTTAATCTGTCCCGAACGATACCCGACGATGAGGAGGAGCACTACGAATACTCTTTGATCTTGGGTCAGCTGCATGAACTTGCTATGTTGAATGCTTGTTCAGAAATGTGTATTTCGAATAGGACATGGTCTTGCATAGCCATTTTAATCCCTCTTTGTTCAGCCATTCATGACAGAAAAAGTGGCACAAACCAATTTCTGACATGGTCACTTAAATCTCTTAGAACTCAGTCATCCGTGAAGAAAATTAAATACCTTTGGTATCATAAGAAAAAGGACATCATAACCTATCAGATGGTAGCTGTGAAATTTTCCTATTATTATTCATATTTGAGAAATAAGCAATCTATTGCTGGTTTCCTTTTTTTTGGGACACACTGTATAACCTATGTACAGAATTATTTTCAAATTAATTGCTGGGTTAATTCAATAAGCAATTCTGAGGTATATTTGAACTTTAATTCCATAGCAGATGTAATTCGGACAAACGTTTTAAAATTCAAGAAGAGATTAAATCAATCATAATAGATCTTATAATTCAAACAAGTCGACAATACTTGGTTCAGTTCATTCATTTTCAATCATACCACGGTCATAGATTAACATAAGTGACCCTTTGAAAACATACCATTTTTGTAGAAAATGAAAGAAAATCGCGTTATATCATGTATCGAGTAATTGTCAAGTTCACGTCTTAAGTTTGATGTGGTAAAAAGCATTCTTCATTAGTCACACATTTAAGTTAAGGGAAGCCAAGATCATTTTAAAAGTGAAACATTTGAATAGATATTTTTAACATTGAAATACTTTTAGAAAGTAAGCTTATACCAGTAGATTTGCTAGAACTAGCTGTTTGGAATTCATCAACTTTTCTCCACAGGATCATTTCGTAGTACAAATGCAGGTCATTCAAAGGAAATATAGGTTTCAACATCCCCGTCTATGAATATTGATCTTTTTCAGACAGCAAAGGTAAGTTTAAAACAGAAATACTTCTTACGAATCCAAATTACATTTTAAACTTAAAAATTGTGATTTACGATCTTATGGGTATGTCACAAATTTGATTAGATACATTCACTCAGCAGGCCGTTACACATGTAATTAACTTTACGAGCGTAACTATAGGTAACTTCGATTTTAGTATGTTCAAGTTCAAGTTCTGTTTTCTCGAGAGTCAAACGATTATCATAGTTTATTTGGCTTGCTTTTAGAATTGGGAAAACAAAGGCAAGGTTTATGTTTTATGAATATTCCGATTTGATAGCAAACTTTATTTTTGAGTGTATTAAATCAAATAAAGCTTATTGCGTCGGGACCTGTACGTTCGCCCAATTAAAGGCAAATGTGCCGTCAATTAAAGAAACATGCACAGTGGTACACCGTTTTTGGAAAACATAAAACTGATAATAAAAATTCATCAATTGTTATGAAATTTGCACCATCATTATATAAACAGAATCTCGAATTTCATGATGACAAAAAATCCGATAAATATGTCAAGAAATAAAAATTTGTTACATTTTTTCCCAAAAAGTTGTAAAATAAAAATAAACTAAAAAAATAATATTTTCACGACAAAAAATAAATAGTTCAACTGTATTGATTATACATGACTTTTTCAAAGAGTAGAGAGCTAGATTCAAAGCACCGTTCCTGCAAGTTTCAAATGAAAATATTAAAAAACGCGCGCGTATTAGAACCGCAACTTTCTATGTCTGCACTGACAAAAACTTGAAATCCCCGCTGTAAAGATATAGTCCCATGCGGATGTGCACGTCATAAAACTGATGGGTTAAGGCAATGTGTCGTCCTACTGAAAGGGCTGGCAATCGGGACAACATTTATAAAGAAAACATGCTGGTGGTGTTGGTGTCGAAAAATAATGGCCAAAATAGGACCCAAGGAGAATTTTGGCCCACCCTGTATTTTAAAATACTGTCAATATATTGAAAAATCAAACAACAACTTAATTTGACTTCGCACCGCAACAGATTCTTTGACAATGTATATTTCATACTTATCAAGATCACCTTCTTATATCTATATACTACGATCTAAATGTTCTCCTTTTCGACAACTGATCGCAGGTATCTTGTTTTGATAGTTAACGCAATGTTGTTGGTCTTGCAAGACACATTACGTTTGTTGTTTTTGTACTTCATGCAAGGTCTCAAAAACATTTTCCGAATTTCAGTTCTGAACATGGTTCCAGATAAGCAATACAAAATAAAATTAATAGAATGGGAAACTGTTTTCAAAACCAAGAACAAGTAATAAAGCATATAGTGCGTCGCCATATCATATACGTCATCAAATTCTACAATACTTTTACGACCAAACCCTCCAATGGCTCCGATAATTTCCATTACATAAAATGGGAGGTTCATAAAAAAGAAACAAGTTGTCGTGATAAAAAGAAGACGTCCAAGGGATGCATTGACGTGTGCTCGCCGACGGGAAAGAGCTGAATTGACACACTTTTGAAGACCTTTTGACGTGTTGATGACACAATACACAGATGCACAATTACAGATGAGTATTATAAGAAAAGGTATCTGGCTCAAGAGTATAGCATAGAATACATTTCTTATTGTGTCCATCAAAACAGATTGCACAAAAATACAGTCGTTTTTCATCCCGTTCTTAACAAGTGTTCTTACTACAAGTTCGGGAATGCAGACTAATATAACAACAACCGCGATGGACACTACAATTTTCCTTGCCCTTTTTTCTGTTGCAATAGCAGGGTATTCTAATGGTTTGTGGACGGCTATTAGCCTATCAATGCTGACGGCAGCAATTAGCCAATCAGAATACCCGATCAAAGAATACCATATGTAGGTTATAATCTTGCAACCTTCTATCACATTTAATACTTTATGTCGGAAATACCACATAATTATAGAACAAATCAAAAACGCGGTATCTGCCAAGAGAAGCGAAATGAGAAAAATGCGAAGAACATTTTTCCGTATTATTTTTGATGACATCACAACGCTAAGAGACAAAATGTTTCCACATAAACCAAATATTATGACAATTTTGTTGACATAGTTTTCTACAAATATCATAGTATCGTATTGCCAAGTGCTTTGCCACATGGCTAGTTTTGAAGCTGCAATATGACGTTCATCAATAGTAGTATTGTTATCGTTCAGTGTTGTGTTTCTTGTTGAAGGTGCTTGATCGCCCGGTGATGCATTATGCACATGTTCATCATCTACCGTTTCGTTTTTGTAAAACAGACCAGGGTCCTTTGTGTGTCTGTTCAGGTGTATTGTAAGTGAACCCGGAGAAGACATTTCATCCAGCAGTCCGGGTCGTGCTGTTGTTATCAATGATTCAATCTATAATTTAAAGAAATGCTACAGCTTAATGTTGCTGGTCAGATTAACATGCGTCGTGTTTGTTCGAAAGTTTGTTTTTCTTAAACATTCGAGTGTTTTTGGGACTTTTTGTGCAGTTTAAGCTCAATCACTCTAAAAGAAAAGCTTTTAAACTGCTTTGTTAACCCCGGAGTAGTTTATTTTTGGGCCATGAAATTTTATTACTCAATTGACCATTTTTGCAATAGAAATACTACTACTCACATTGGCTTGAGAATAATTCACAATATTTAATGTCCCAAAGCATTCCTTTGTACTTCAACAATGTTTATTACCAAAATCATTGTACCATGAAACAAAAATGGTCAAATTGGGGATTTTCGATTAAAAATGACCTCAAATTGTCCATTGTTTAGTGATAGATTTCCAGTAAACTTTCTCCTAGCTATCGCCTAATGGATAATGATTTCAGTTTTTAATAGTGATCTTCCTATTGTGAATACATGTCCTATGTTTGTAACTGTTTGCAACCATATTTAGACATTCTAAATGTCAATTTTATCATACATTTTCCAGAAAAATTCAGTCACTGAAGAAAAAGTTGTATTGCATGCTATGTTGATGGCTTAATCCTCAAATTATTTAATATTTTCATAAAACCTGTCAACAGCATCTCAAAACCTCCACTAATGGCCATCTGGCGTCAACATGTTACAAAATACAGGCCAAAATGGTCAAAAGCTGTGATTTTTAGGTCAAAAATGAAAAATGCTGAATCAGCGAAAATGAAAATGTCTTGATTTTTCATAGATTTGTAAGGTACATATTACTAGTAAGAAAGTGTAAGTTTTACAAAAATAAGACTATTGTTGAAACTGGTATATATTGTCACCAACCCGTTGCTAACAACAAAACAACATTGATGGAATCGTGCTTGGTGATGTGCAAAGTTTATCAAATAATATTACAAGTACGTATTGATCTACTCTTGATCAAGGTGTCGATAATCTAATTGAATGAAAAGATTACTAATTTAATGGTGTATCGATCCTGATTTATACTTTGAAAATCAAAAATGGCGAAGTGCTCAAAACAAAATTTGCTCCCCTTTTTTTGCCTGATAGGTAGATGGCAAATATTATTTCAGACTCATAAACTCTTTCATATTTTAAAATATTTTGTTTGATTGGGTTTGGTTTGGGTTTGGTATTCCGGGAGTTGCTGTTTTCTATAAGGGATTGTACCCCGGGCGTTTATGCTTCGTGTTACAAATATATACAATATATGATTTCTACAAAAAAATCTTACACCTAAGGTGCAAACATAAAAAAAATCGCGATCAATTGTCATATAAGAAACGAACTTGTAATTTTATGATAACCCCCGGCCCTATTATGGAATATTCTAAGTCTTTATTTATTTTTCAAGTCGTATTATATGCACCTTTAAATAATCCGACTGGTTAATTTGATCAATCCCAAACCTGAATTGGTAGGAATACTCAGCATGTCAGTTTAAGTGAAAAACTACGTACAATGTATGCTACAGGTGAATTATTCCAAGAAATCTCCTCTGATGTTATTGTTATGAAGTGGTATAAATAATCCTCTTCAAGATAATTTGTTTCATATTTAAAAGGTCTGTCGGCTGAGACGCTAGACTTGCTAGTATTCTGAATTCATTTAAGCTAGTTGTATACCCGGAGGTCTAAAAATGAATTCACAATTTTTTGAACAAGAAATCCTCCAAAATCACCTTTTTGAAAATAGATTGAAAGTTTCACATGTCACATTTTGATAACATTTGAGTAGGTCTATAATATCAGCTAAAGTGGTTACAACCTTATAAGGGTCCTTTAAAGCTAGAACACATTTTGATTTCCAATGTTAGGGAATATTAATAGGCTCGAGAGTAAGGGAATCCATGTGGCTTCTCTTGAAAGCCCATGATTAACCCTAATGCCGGCATGGGGGACGAATGACCCCAATATTCCCCTGATACTTTCTGCCTTGAAAAAATATTTTTCTATAATTTTAGTAGCTATAGCTTCAGATAAAAGACCACGTCTGGTGCTAAAACCGATGTTATCGGGGGTATAGCGTATTTAGTTAGGATGGTGGAAACGTGGGTCTTTGAAAACTTTGGGGCTTGAAAAATTGGTTCTATTTTTACTTTCCTTCGCAGATAGACCATATCATATAGTGGATACACTTTCAAACAAGCCATATTTTAAGGTTATTAGACTTTTCTTGACTGGGATACTATGTTTTAATATTCGTTATATTGAGTGAAAAAGTAGAAAATACACAACGATTCTCCTAACCTACGTTACTTATTTTGACCTCATTCGACCTACTTTTTTGTGTTGTTAACACACCTCCCTCGTGAGGTTTTAATGACTTATAATACGGTACCTTGGTTTTACTACATACTTCTTCAACTTTGGAAACGCCAGGGGGTGTCCTCCGATCCCCCTCTCATGCGCATTAGTGTTATGAAACATACGTTGCCCGCATTAAGGTTAAGAGACTATATTATCTCCAAATTGGATGATGGGATTAATATAATTTAAGTTAATTTAAAAAAAATAAAATCATAAGTCGCCGACTATTTTTATTATTACTCTTCTAAGGATACAATTTTTCAATTTTTGTATGTCTTTGTCTAGTATGTTGCCAATTATGTACCAAAGTGCAACAAAATTGTATTAAAATATATTTCTTGAAATGAAACAACGAAGAGCATGAATTTGAAAAAATGAATGTTTAGACTACCCCGAATATTCATTGGTCTTTTCGTAGTGTGTATGTCGTAAAAGGAATAGAAAAACGAACTTTAGCTTTTGGACATGATGGAGTGCTATATTTTGTCTGAGATTAAGCTTAAGCAGCTTCTGAATCAAAAAATAAGAAGTGTGAAATTCTTTATGTCTCTTTGTAAATGTCATGCCACGGCGTTTTCCAAAATTAGACGTTTCCATCCTGCAATGCTAAAGAGGTTATGAAAGATTCAAATTGCACACTGGTTTTAAAATTCATTAGTTTTACTTTTTTAGAAAGTGGGCATGACAAGGTTTATGACATTATGACATTATTGGATAGGTCGTCTCTAAAGTTTATTGTACCTTTAAGTTCGAAAACAGTTTAATCGAATACCAGACACGCATACCTGATGTGTATGAAATGATTTATAGTAAAGAAAACAAACCTTTTCTGTTGTCTGCATTGTTCCGCTCTCTGTAGATGTTACACATCGAATTATAATAGAAATTAGTAGCCAAGTTCTTGCAGACATCATGACTGAGTATTTTCAAGCCAATGTTTTTATCGTTCCTTTCCACCGTATCAAAGCATATACTTTTTGAAAAGTATTAGCATTTATGCTTCATCATAAAATCTATATTTGCAGCTGATAAAGATAATGTTGCCCTGATTAAACAATTCGATCTAGGTCTTGTTTTCCTCGAATAGTAATTATAGTCGCCTGCTGATTTAACCTGATTCTGACAGCAATAAATGCGCATATATTTTGTATCAAGTAATATATATTTAAACATATATATTCAGTTCATATCGGGTATTAATAGGGTAATATACACAATAATTCCGTACAGCTAATTCAATATTTATTTATTTAGATATACACTTTTTTAACAGTGGCACTCTTACATTAAGGTGCATCTAATCGAAAGTATCCACAATGCCATGTTGGTTAAAAACAGAACCTTTTATCAAACTAAAATGAGTCTTAAAAAGAATTAAAACATAGGTATGTTAATATTTACTTAAAATCTTATTTAAAAAGCTTTTTACTAAAGAGTCGAATAAAACACCATATTCGTGCCCCCCAAAGATGTATGCCTCATCTCCCAGTAACCATAAATATTTCATGTCATTTTTTTATTCACGGGCAAAATGTGACAATACAATTTGAATTTGTTAATTCTCTTTTTTCATTAGTAAATCTACCCACAAAATGTGTCGGTTGGAAAATGTTGTTTTTTCACATTTCCTTTGATATTTTTTTTCCCTGGCGCCCAAGAGTGTCGATTATTTTTATGAGAATATGTTTCCCTAAACAACACAATTTAGGTCGGTTGAAGATGGAACAAGTATTTACGTTTATGGCTACAATCTAAAAAAATCTCAATGTTCGTTGTCCCATTGAACTACTAGTAACACATCTCAATTCACAGTTAACCCTGTTGCAGACAACGTATTTTTTATAACACTAATCGGCAGGGGGTCAGATGCATTTAAAACTGAAACTGAACAATTACAGTAGTACTTCAACCTGATTGCACTCTTGAACCTCTTCCCTTTAAATGGTGGCCATTTTTCAAAATGGCCGCCTACTCCCCAAAGTGTCATTAGACCAAATATGAAAAAATCGCTAAACTACTTTTCAAGTTACAGCAAGAATCATTAAGGGACACACAACTTATTGATCCTTCCGCCGAGTGGGAATAGATGGCATTTTAGAAACAAGAATATGGTCCAATTATTTGGTTCAAACTTTTTTGACTGACAGAGGACATACTGGGGTATGATGGCATGACGCGTGTTATAGGATTTGATTGGGTTAGTTCAAAATACCGTGTAATGGCCGCCATTTTTCAAGATGGCTGTAATGTGCTTCTTTGATATCTACATTTCTATATTTATTAATATCCAGGATTCCTATATATTTTTAAATCTAAAACATATTGCTATTACAGTTTTACATGCTGTACCTAAATTACTGTAAAATCGGCACTAAAATGGCCGCCGTTTTAAATGAGCGGCCATTTTGGAAATTGGCTTTCGAGCAAAATTTTTACCCCTATAAGGGTATATGTGTACATAATATCAACAAAATCTGGCCAACGGTATTTGAGTTATTGCACTTTAGATGTACGGTGTCACTATTAACTGATTTGAAACAAAACCTGACGGACGGACGGAGGCGTTCCCTATATCCCTCCGAACTTCGATTGAATAATAAAATCATTGCATTGTTTAATATTACATCGACCATCCTTAATTGTGTAGTTTTATCTAACCTTTAAGATGAGTACATAAATTATCTTAGATTTTAAAAATTGTAATTGAGACAAATATATTATCATAAATATAATCGACACTTTCAGGCGACACGGGAAAAAATTATCAAAGGAAATGTGAAAAAACAAACATTTTCTAACCGATAACTTTTGTGGGTAGATTTACTACGAAAAAAATCAAGCACTGCTCGAAAATCGTTCAACGTAATCAGAAAGCTAAAAGTCTATCGAAGCGAATACGCACGAAATTAAAAATAAAAACCTTTTGTTTTCCTCAGAATAAATTTTCTTAAAACGTACATCAAACCTTCATCATAGGTTTTGCTTCTAATCAGTTAATAGTGACACCGTACATCTTAAGTACACGACGGTATAGTTTGTCACTATACGTTAGCAATGTTGTTGCGTGAATGTCAAAGTTTGAAATAAGTCCGACCTTCCCAAAATAAAATTAAATGAAAAAAATATTAAAAAATAGGAAGCCAAGGGGAGTCGAACAAGGGGTTTACTTCTTAGTAGATTATTATAAATATACGTTACTACCAAACGCTCTACTTAGTGAGCTATCATGGATGGCTGGTCAAATACGTTTTTACTACGCAAACCTTTACTACTTACACTAATATTGCCACTATGTGCTAACATCCACCATTGAATCTATCTATGGCCAACTTCCCGGGAATTTCTTGAGCATATTACACTGTGCACCCCCGCACACATGCCCGGATATTCCTCAATTATTCCGCCATTTTCCTTCTGTAAAGTCGGAAATTTTAGAATCGCAATAAATTTACAAATAACTTGTGACTATGGACACGGAACTAGGAAGTTAGTTGTTCTACAGGTTCATCAGTTACAAATGAAAGTAAGAGGACGAGGAAAATAGATCATATGGAACTATAAGACAAGTTTTCAAGGTTTTTTCTTTGGGTTGTTAGTCCACAAAGAAAACATCTGATTACAGTGCTGATATATAATAATTAAGGGTGCGTTTTCAAACTAAATAGAGTGCTCCTATCAAAATGAATTTGCCTACATACCCCTGAGACTCTTATCTAATAGATAGAATGCACAAATAAAACAAAAGTTTTGCTATTATAGGTAAAAAGTTCTCTTGAAATTTCGAAGTGATTTTACCTTTTAATTCTGTCCATGGTCTACCATTTTTGCGGAAGTTACACTGAAACGCAAACTCCATGAAACGAAACGAAATCACTAGAAAAAACATGGCACACATTGTGCGCATGTGCAGCAAAGTTTAGACCAATCAGATTATTTGATTATTCTGCGCACATGAATTATTTGCTTCTGAGCACTTACAAGCTTACCACAATAAACAAACCTGGCAGAGACTACCCTTAGCCTACTTCATTTTGGCGAAATTTCAGCTCAAACTCGTGACAAATGCATTATGCATACGATGGTGTGAAGCCTTGGAGACACTCATTTTGGTAAATATGATTTATGGGGTATACTTTTCTGCAGTTTGTGGGAGTTTGGGACATTTAAATGTTAAAATTCAAGAAAATATGCCAATTAAACGACTGATCAATTAATATATACCAGCACTGTATACAAATAGTGACTGCCATTGAGGGCAATAGTGTAAATTATTTCCCCGAGGGAATATCCTCTACAATGTACTATTCCCGAAGCCGCAGGCTGAGGGAATAGTACATTGTAGAGGATATTCCCAAGGGGAAATCATTTACACTATTGCTCGAAATTAGGCTGTCACTATTTGTTTTATTATATACCCTATACTGACTCTTGTCCCGTTTCCTCTGCGAAGGCCAAAAAGGCTTAGAAAGCCCCCTCCCCGGGTCCATTGCATTATAAGCTGTGACGTCATCAGATGCTCAACAGAAATGTTTGCCTCTGAGACTCTCACTTGACAAATTCAATCGCGTTTAACACGCGGAATAGATTACCATAACACTTGAAATTACACAGACGTATTGAGCTTAGGGAACTTTATACACGTTGCTTATATTGTATCGTTCACGCACGTCTGTCATGGTGAACGGAGTTGATTTGTGTTTGTGCTTGTCCTTCATTTTTCTGTTTTTCGTCTGCGCAGTGATGATGCGCAGACGTTTCCAAAGGTAATAGAACTTGCAATTGTGACGTCAGCGGGCAATAGTTCAAATGTATATTCCCGCTGACGTCACATTTGAGGGAATATAACTTTCCGAGGGAAATAGTAAATCTATTTCGGAACACGTGACTAGGTATTGACCAATCAGGATTAGTGTTACATATTGGGTATATAATAAATATAAATGTCGAAGATCTTACCTCGTTCGTTTTTTCTTTGCTTGCTCCATATAGGGTCTTCAGTCCCGACATGAGATTATAGTAAGCACATGGAAAAGGTCTCTAGTGTCAATTGACCTTTTTCTAGACAATTTGTCATATATAAATGACAATTTCACAGGGGTCATTAGACCATCAGAAGACATCATGTTCAGAGAACGTAATATTACATGTTCTTCTCTGTGTTATGTTACATGAGAGGTTTTCAATCCAGATAAGAAAGTAAGGAAGCCCGAAGAAGGTAGACACTGTGTTTATGCCTACAGTACCTTGCCTTACATTGAGGTCTTTCTTTTGGTTGTCAGTCCATAAAGAAAACATTAACTGTTCAAGTTTACATAGCTCTCAATTCTTCGTCTCTGTATTTATCACATAAACGTGTTCAGTTCCAGATGAATATGAGAAATTTGAAAAATATCTACATCTACATCTGAAGATGGCTTCTTTACTGCTGAGGTGTTTTTGGTTGTTAGTCCACAATAGAAACACATATGTGTTCAGGAGAACGCAGACGAAATGGCTTCTTTACTGCTCATGTGTTTTTTGGTTGTAAGTCCACAATGAAAACACATACGTGTTCATTAGAACGCAGTTATCATCTCTTTTCTTTATGCATAGTTTATAAAAGGACTCCAGTCCCGATATGAATTATGTAAACATGAAGAAATAAATACACTAGTAAATTTGTTTTTCGGGATTTGACATGTGTCGAGCATAGACTGTATTATCCTAAGATGAAGAAGATATTTCTTCATCTTACAGTAGCGTGATCACGATGATGTTCAGATGAAGACACTTGGTTCACATACATTTAAATGTATTTAGAAAATAACATTGTATGTTGTAAAACCTGGTGTAGTATGCATACATAGAACACGTATGCTGACCACAGTATAATTAGTTTATTTAGTCCATTTAGTTTTTATACTAGTTATGCGCAGCAGATTAAGTTTGTCACTTATGCATTTGGTACAGTTATTTCGAATTTCTGGACTGAGTTGTTTGTCTACTGTTCAGAAAAAGGATAGGCTAAAGATTAACAAAAGTAACTGTGAGGTTTACAGTAGGCCTACTGTGAAGTCGTCATCTTCTTCACAGAAAAGACCAATATAGCTTTTTAGCCTACTCATCTTCCAAGTAGATCTTTTCGAATCAGAGACCTATAAGTTATTGTCTCTGATTGAGCGTTCCTGTTTTCTCCAAGTAATTGTAGATGTTGCTATTACTATATGCTGAAGAAAACGATTCATGGATGATCACAATCATCCTGTTATTGGTTGATTCCGTCTCTTCAACAGAGAAGTAGAAGGTGACTTAGATTGTTTTAGTTTTGAGTCACTAGACTATTCTTCTAGCTATATTAGCCAACAACTGAACAACACAAGTAATTATTCATATAAGAAGTGTTGTATGCGTTGACAAATGACAATGTCATGAACTTGTCATTTCTGAGTTTCTGACTGAAATCTTTATATTCTCAAGAATCATTTCTGAATACTCCTATTTAGACTCTATTCCTGGAATATTAACGTTCAGAGTTGAGTTGGCGGAAGTATCTTTGACATAGGTTACTTTCGCCAGATGCTTCTCATAAAGCATTCAACTCAGTGTTAATTGTTTGAGGAATTAAGATTACAGTCGAGGTTTTTTGAAAACTTAAACATTTGGCGGCTTTCAGTTTGCCAGTTAAAGTAAGGTTATGTCTAAAACATCACCTCAGTAAAGGTTTTGTTTCCTTTATTTTTCTTAGCCTTGACAGCTTTTGAAGTCAAAAGTTGATTATTGAAGTCTAAGATGACTTTTCAGATCTCTTGGTAAGTCAGTTCAAGAGACTGTAAATCAAATTCTGTGTTTTTCACTACAATCTTGGGTGTTATTCCAAAGGTTTTATTTTGTGACGAGGGGAAGTAGTTATACTTACTTATATAACAAGTCCCTATATCTGTATATCCAGACCATTGGCCTGTTTGCTACCACATCACACACAGAATGAATATTTGTTTATTTTGACCTTGTTCAGGTTGCTCAGTTTTTAAACACGGTTTAAGTTTAATCACTGTTTTGAAGAGTGTTTTACTGAGCCAGCCTCAGTCATGACAGTATCATCTTCAACAGGTTCACAGTCGTGCCGTGCTTCTGTGTAAACATTTGTGTCTTAAATAGCCACACATTTACTTTAAATCAGTGTATCATCAGTGTTCAGTTCAATCACTATTTGAGAGATCTTACATGTTGATTAGAGGTTTATGTTTTTTCACCATGGAATCACTTGTTACCATGTTTCCTTGGTGGTAGAACCTCAATACATCATTTAGTGGTACTGAAGTACTATATACTCAAGAGCTAGTGTACTCTTTGTTATAGACATGGTTTCGTTTGTCTTGACATGAGCTCTTCCAAACAAGAGATTCAGACTTACCTTTTTACGCATTGGTCAATTAATATTAACAGTGGCAATTTTTCACACATATGCCAAAAATTGTCGTGATCAAATTGTGACCAAGTTATTTTTGTAACAGTCTCATGATTTTAAGAATCACAGACATTTTCTGCTGACTGTTATACATATGATCTTTAACGGAAATCACAGTCGTTTCCGTGCGGTTTTGGAGATATTTCTATACGAATTATCTTCAACTCCATCTATACTTTATCAAATAGTTTCATTTTTGAGACAGTATATTTTTTCAGATGTTGTTTTGAGTAGAACACTGAATTAAGGAATCGTCCTGTCCTGAGACTAGTAATGTCACTACCCCCTTAATAGGACAAATATACATCTAAGGTTTATGATGTCAAGATTCCAAGTAATTAACAAGGCATTTTGGTGCCCTGTCACAGGAATGTAAATTCTCAGGAACCACATAGTCATCGGTTCGATTCCTATTACCGTAGCTACTGTAGTTTAGTGGTGTTTGCCTATTCTATTTGGCAATTGAATAAGGCTTTTAACGTTGCTTTATTTTCCTCTGTACCATTCATAATTGAGGCAGATGGTGGTCAACCTCTTGAGGTGTTTAACAGAGGATTTCAATGCGAGAATAATTCTCGTTTTATTTATACATGTTATATGGGAACGGTTCTTGAACACTTACAATGTAGATGAAAGTTGCCCAAGAACATTTTTGTGTTCAAAGATGCAAACCATAACGTAGTTGTTAATATCCACGTTGCTTGACAGCTAGACTATCCTTCAAAATCAGGGTTCATTTTCAACAAGAGAAAGTGAAACACCTGTTGATTTTAAGGATTAGAAGCGTGATGGGGTTTTTAACACCTATATTGCAAGAAAGCAATACTGTGACATCTGACACTACAGTTCAATTGATGTGTAACACTAGTTACTATTAGACATCAAGACGTCTCACTTGAATTGTTTGTTGTTCCAGATTCAAAGAATATTGATGTTTAGAACATCATAGTCTTATTAATGTGAGCTTGCATTTCCATTGCATTCTAATGAGTTTATTTACTCATATTTTAGTCATAGTATACATGTTTGTGTATGACTAAACAGCAATATTAGAAGATACATGAAACGTATATCTTCCCTAGCAACTTTGTGGATAAATACATTGCAGGTGTTTCTTATCAAGAGACGCAGAATTTTTTATCACACTATATATGCTATAAGACTAGAATGCCACTGAATTACATGGTAGTCGTCTTATTTACCTGTAATTGTTGTAATTGGAACTCTCTAATGATATATTCTATCATGATATCGTACAATTTGTTCTAGTAAATTGTCAGCATATATCAGAGGAGGGTTTTCAGAACCAGTTCGTAAATGATCTTGTCCTGATAACTTCTTCTAGAGTCGAATGATTCTTTAAGGTTTTGAGTTAGTGTTGTGGTTCAGTTGAACTTATTCACTCTTAACCATTATAATCTCTTTCTTGGGTTTGTACCAAGATCTAGGATTGTATTCAGCAGGTATCATCTAGACATGTTTGGATACATGACTATCTTTAATTTACCGATTTTTTAAGAACGTGTTCGGTAATATGCACAGTTTTATTGTTGAATTGTAAACAACCAAGCATACTCGACTAATAAGGAGGGTGTACATGGGTTCTTCAATGATTGAACATGTGATCCTAATGGCAATGAGTAAATGATGAATCTCTACGTAGTTTATCATTCAGACATAGCTTAGCCTTTAAGGGTTACAATGCTTTGCAGAAGCACTTATACCAGATGTTTAATATTTAAAGATGTAATTGGGATTTCGGAGTTATCACAATCCCAAGAATATTTAAACAACTGGTGTTCATAGTTCGAAGATCATAAAGAGTCCAACATATGGTAACCGATGTAGTACTTCGTCTCACCTTTACTCAAAAGAGAGAACGAAAAGTTTGCATTGATTTGAAGCACCAGATACATTTAAGGAACTTCAATATAATTCCTTTAGATCTTTTAATCAAGCAATTATTAGTTGTTATCTATACACGTACAAGGTATACAGAAGTATAGAAGGGTCGAAAAGTAAAGAAGGGTCGAAAACGTTATGTCAAGACCAGTAGCTACTTCTTCAATCTTTGTTTCTAGAAGTCGAGTGGAAGATATGTTTAAAGCAGGCACAATGGGCAGCTTAAATTACTTCCAAGTCATGTATGTAAGTCTAAGACATGTAAGACTATGCTAGAAAATATTCTGACATTTTTCTTAACTTTATGGCCAATCAGAATGTCAGAATTTGTACTGTGGTATAAGTTCGTTGTTGACCTTTGGTGGTTGAATTACCCCGCCATAGATAGACGTCCGTTTTTTATCATAGTGGCCATTTGAGTCATATATGAAATAATACTCAGTAGTTTTTTAGCATAGTGAATCTGAATTATTAGTTTTGTTAAGTGTTTAACACAGTTTAAACATTTCACCCCAGAACTTGTACTAGGTTATTAAGTTCCTTAGTCCCGAAGGCTTTAGGATGTAAAGTTGGGTTACCTAAAGTTGTAGGGTTGATCAATTTGTAGTTTGTTGCAAATCTATTTTATTCCCGTGGTCTTTCTGCTGTTTAACCCACCGCCTACTTGGCTGGGATTCAGCACATAGTGGCAATATTAGTGTAAGTAGTAAAGGTTTGCGTAGTAAAATCTTAAAATTTAAAGTAATTTTAGTTTTTATTAGTAAACCATACTTACCTAATATTGCCACTACAAATATGTCCCTCCCTCCTCCTCCGCTTACAGCAGAATTTTCATAAATGTTATAGCGGAATAATTGAGGAATATCCGGGCATGTGTGCGGGGGTGCACAGTGTAATATGCTCAAGAAATTCCCGGGAAGTTGGCCATAGATAGATTCAATGGTGGATGTTAGCACATAGTGGCAATATTAGGTAAGTATGGTTTACTAATAAAAACTAAAATTACTTTAAATTTTAAGATTTTCTTGGTATACATATGTACTGACTAACTATATGATCAATATTGAGTTTCATGGACCTAAATTCCTGTCACTGCTGTAGCAGGAATCCAAGTCCGTCAGGAAAATACGTCCGTAGTAATTTTTCATATATATTATGGCTTGGAATATATGTCCGACTAGGACTTATTTTCCAAGGGGACTTATACTCCTGTTACACCGGGCTTTGTTTTTTTCATCTGGGCTTTGTTCAGATGAGTGAAACTTGAAACATAGAAGCAAGCAAAGAAATCTAAAGGTTTCTGTTTTTCTTGCTAAAAACTGCAATACCTTACAAAACACGCTCCAAATGGGCACCTCTCCTCTCTATATTCAATTGTGCATAGATAATTTATATATTCAATTTGTTAAAACATATTGATAATGTTTTTGAAAAAACAATATCTGGCCAAAGGTCTATTATACCACCGCGCCACCTTTTATCCGCACACATTAATAATCCAGCAAACTTTTAACACAAGAGTTTTTAAAACTACATTTCAAGGTTGTAAATATAATCTTAAAATAAAATGAAGAAAACGTAAAGCTATACATATATTATTTCCACGTGTGTTCCAATGTGATCATGAACTATGAACACGACACTTTTTGCACGAACCTATTGTACACAGCTCCAAATAATAATTTCTTATTTACTCTTTCCTTGCTGAGTCATTCAAGGTGAATATTTAGGTTAGGATCACATGTATATATAACTCTATTAGCACAACACAAAAATCGATATTTTGTGTAGGTAATATAAACGCAGAACGAAGAATAACCACCATTTTGAAACTGGAGTTGAGCAGGTAAACACGTTACTTATTACGTACTTCAAAATCATTTTATTTTATAGAAGTTAACTTGATAATTCGATTACTTAATGACTGTCATGTATTTGTAGTCGCCATGTATGCTTTCTAAAATATCATGGATAATTAACTATTATATACGTAGAGTATACTGTAGATATAACCGCGAATTTAATTTATTTATATTAATAATGATTCCGATTAACTTTAATACATAGACATATTGACTTCAAACGGATTGTCACAAATATAGTTTATAGTATCAGTCACCCGGACATTTTCTCATAGCACCCAATGTGACCTGGAATATAATATAATAGGTTGTGTTATATAGGATATGTTATGCTATACAAGTTATGTTATAATATAATTTCTCGTAAATGTCACCATAACGATTACATGCTTATTGATAATTATATCCACCATGCTTCATCATTCATCACACATTCAAGTGTATCTATTCTATAATGTGTGCACCAGCATTCGTATTATTTCATTCCTCCACTTGAAATCGATGTATTTAATTGGGGCATGAGAAGGAAGTATTAGAACTCCAACTAGCTTCCTGGAAATATGATTCACACCTGGATTTTATTTGAGGTTATCAAAACCGATGTGCAATTACATGCTGATGTTTCATGATCGTTAGAACTATTTTAAAGAAAACCTACTCCGACCTTTGTACATTTTATTGACCTAAGGGTTTTAGCCACAGGTTTGTACGCAGTCGTCCATATAGACTCTATATACACATACACACAAATCTTAGGTTTATTGGAAATCATTATTTTAATCGCAATACGAGTCTCCCTAGCTGTTATTGGAGAGTAAATAAACATGCATGTATTGAATATTTTTCAGAAACCTCCAGGGACAATGATGCTTAGATGTTTGGTGGCGGTTTGCCTCCTTGCTCTCGTCGCTTCCCAGGCAAGGGAAGGTGAGTCGGGTTCCCATATATGCGTCCCTTTTTTACAACCTCTGATCCCTGATCTGACTCAAACCAAATGTAATCATATCTTATGTAACTTACTTTAACCATATCTAAACTATTAAATGTTTTAAATGTAAATTTTGAATTACCTTGCACTAAACTATCATAAATTTGAAGCTGTTAATACTGGCCAATACGTGAACCAGTTAGTTGTGAGCTCAGAGAACGTGATAAATAGACGACACATGCTTGGATCATTTTTGAGCCAGTAAAACATCTGATCGTGAGTTATATAATGTGTTGGTACATATTTTAATCATGTAGTTGAAGTGTGACCTCCCAATGAAATAATATCAGGTCTCATATGTCTTAAAGAGGGCGACCATGTAACCCACTGTAAAGCACTATACTCAAGATAACAGTGTTTGTCTTGCAACTATAAAAACTGAAAGTCTTGATCTCTCACGATGGAAGGAATTAGCAGCATATGGGTATTACAAATGGATATTACATGTACACTACCTGCTTGACTACTGTGTGTATTCATCTCGATTTAGCAAATTGCATCATTGGTTTAATATGCAGTTATATAGATTTGTTATATAAACCCTTCTTCGTATTGAGCTGTATTTGTATATTAATTTGTTCTCGGTTGTTACGTACATTATGATGTAAGAATAGAACAACTGAACTCTAAAGAACATGACTGTATTCATGCCTTCTATAAACTGTGAACAAAGTCAATGTTTCAGCTGGGTTATATTCGAGACCCGGGATTCGAGATCAATTCCCCGGCTCTGTACTAAGTGTTTCGTTCAGTGCACCCATTGGTCAATTTAGGCCGTTCCGTTCTTTTCGCATCCCCCTCTCGTCGGCAAAATTCAAAATGGTAGGGAGAAATTGTCCGGAGCCAAAATTTTCTGTCGGAGCATTTGTAAAAACTGTAATCTCAATAATTTCTGCCATATAACATACTCGGTATGTTATGGATGATACGGCTGATGGGATATTGAAAAGTGCGTGGGTCATTTCTTTCCCGGTGAGCTATAGCGGCCTCAATTCTATAAGATTCACAAGAGTTAAAAAAACAAAAATATATGATGGCTGTCAGACTATCAGTCTGTCAGTTAAAATAACTCAGATAAATAAAATAAGTTAAAGTACTGCCACTTTTTCATAAAAAGTATGATATTTGATGACTGAAATTAGCTACAGTATCAGCTTTAGTTTAAATGTAGTATGTGCAAATCCTTTTGGCATGCAACTTTACATTCTACATCGTATATAAAGTGCCAGTTATAGCATATTCCATGACATTCATCCAATGATCTAAGCGTATATCATGTATGAAGGAATATATATACAGATTGATTTAGAATCTGTTTTCAGATCTCATATATTGATAAATACGCGTGAAAATACGAAAATATACACTAACAAAATGTTTTGTATACTTGTAGAGTTTGGTAGACGCCGGAAAGGTGAGCATGGATTCCCTAAAGGCAGTAGTTCCGAGAGTAGCTCTCATGGTTCCGACTCTAAAACTAGCGAAGAGAGTTCTGAATTAGATAAGTGGGAAAGGAAACCTCCCGGACATCCCAGATGGGGGAAAAAGGATGGTGATGACTGGGAGTCTCACGAGGTGGGCAGACGTCCAGGAGGGCACTCTCACGGCGGACATAGTGAGCATCGCGGACATGGAGGACACGGTGGACATAGTTCCCACGGCCCACATGGCAAGCGACCACCACACCATGAGGATCGACCCATGACAAAACCATCGAAGGGGCCAAACAGCGAATCCATGAAGAGCAAAATGGATTCTGAGGCAGACGATTTAGAAAGTAGGATTGAAAAACTTGAAGAAAATGATGCTCTTGTTCAACTCAGACTTGATGCTGACTTCGATTCAATTACTGGCAAAGCATATGCGTTCAAGGTGTAAGTTTGGTGTTCCAACTCTAATACCATAAGAATGAATATCTGAATATATTTCTTTAGTCAAACAGAAAATGCAATTTCTGTAAAACTTTAAACTGAGACTAAAAAAACTCAGTTTAGATTAGTTGAGATTGTAAAAATAGTTAAATATTATTTTAGGGCCTGTTCAATCTAGTACAGACATAATAAATATTTCCAGCCAGGTTCAATTGGAAAAAAATATTGAAGATATAAGACATACAAATGTAGATCTTTCGCAATGAAATATGAAGTCAGAACTGATTTACATTGTCCCTCATTACACGACATGGTCACATGACAAATAACGATATTGTTAATTTCACCAATCTTTATACAAGTCTTCTTTTGTACTCCTTCAAAAAGCTCAATGAATAAATGCATATATGCATGTTCACTCTACTATACCTTGCATTTGGTGTTCATGAGCAACCCATTTGGCTTATTAGTAATGAATATGTTATTGGTTTTTATTTGTCTGTCCCTTATTAATGGTTTATCGGATGACTGTAAGATGTTGATAAGGTACTTTAAAAAATAAACAATACAATTAGACAAACAGAGTATATTATGCATTTCTAGTGGTTAGGTAAAGTAGAGTGATGTTCTAGACTTGCCCTACCGCATTCAAAATGACACTTCTGTTTTACAGTGCGATGAAGAAACAACTAAGCAGAGAGACTGGTTGGCCACAAGAAAACATTATTGTATCTAGTGTAAGTTCTCAAGTTTTAACAATTGAAGTACATGGACTTTTACTATTACTCATAATATAAGCCCATGCTCTTTATACATTGTTATATATCATCACAAAGCACTTTCTCAAGAGCCTCTTGATAAAACATTAAATGCCCTTAACGAGACACGACTCTTTCTAGAATATATTTATTTTTAGTTAAAACATATAGTAACGCTATTGACTTATTCTACACCTATATGTTTACGGTGCACAAATATGAAACAAAGAGTTTATTTTTGTTGAAAAACAACATTCAGAAGATATTGTTAATAGTTTCAACAATATTACATTGTAATACTTGTTAATGGTACATTATACACTTAATGCTGATAAAAAGCATATAAACAAGTCAAATAAAAGTACCAAAGGAATAACATTTGCCGTAAAATGAAGTTGTATTAGTAAACCAAATTATATATCACAGTTGTCTTAGTTTTAGGTTGCCATATTTTAAATTACTGTCTAGATCTCTTTAAGGGTTTGGTATATTTTTCATCATTACATAGAATTGAGATACAGCCATTGTTTTAAGGAGATGTTTGAATATGTTTAACTTAGGATGACTCGTATAGATGGCGATTCATTTGTGGAATGTTTTTGACACCTTACATTGATTATATGTGAATATTACTGTATTCATATTCAAACGTCAAATGCACTCGATTAATCAATTGAAAGTGTATACATTTATTATTTTTTGTGTGTTATTACAGCACAATTCACCTTCCAGAGTTACCAACCATCTATAAACTGTCCTCAGCACCGGTTGGATCAGTTCCGAATTTAACAACAGAGTTAACTTTAAATGTGTAAAACCCTTTATTTTACGGCTATAGGTGGAACCAGGAAGTATCATTATCAACTTCGAGATCAAAGATAACTATGATTGCAATGTGCATTCTGGGATGGAAGATCTCAAGAGAAAGGTAAGTTAAGGATCTCATCTCAACTGTTTTTTTAAAAAGATTTCCACGATTATTTAAGAACTTAGTATATAAAATACAATAGTAAAGGTTCTTGACTTGTAGAGTAGAATTATTGATGTTATTCAAAAAGCTTTATCAAAGTGGTTTAGTAAAACAGACTTTGCTATCCTGGAGGTGATTGTCCCTTGTAACCTTTACTTAACCCGATTAGCCATACATAAAAATAAAGCTGCCATCACAAATGGCTCCTTTAAAAATTAATGACGAGGATGACCAACTGGTGGACAACTATCACAAGTACATCACATCACAATTTCCATCCAGCATGCAAATAATATTCTATGAAATTTGCGTTTTAGCTAGATGCACAATTTGATTATATTTAACAGCTGGATGCAAAGAGTCTGACGTTCATATTCGAGGGTAGATCTATGTCTGTCTTGGACTACGAAATGTGGGTTAACGATAAGCCGTCCATGTTCCATCACAAGAAATGGAAGAAATTTGCCGTAATAGGTGGCGCAGTCGGATTGGTCGTGGTTGTTGCCTCGCTGATACTAGCTTGTGTGATTATGTTTAAGGCATCAAAGAAGAGACGTTTCCACAATAAACGGGATTTGGTGAAACAGGTTAACATTTATCTTGTATTTTATAGGATAATCGCAAAAAAGACAATCTCATTTTGATTAGGAAACTTCAACTTTTTTCGTGTTAGCAGTTAAATGGAATTGATTTTCAGCTAAATTGTATATACTTGGGTCACTCTGTACTCAATAGTCGATAGACTCGTATTTTAGTTTTTCAGAACCATTACTGGCATTTTGTGGACTGCATTGTCCGTTTAATATATATATTTTTGTATATTTTATCTATCTCAGATGAACATCCATTCAGATGAACATCCATATTTACATGAAGTTGAATTGTAAGAGTTTACCTTAAAAGTCTGGAATAGTTGTGACTGGGGTGATCCCTAAACTCTACTTCTTTAATAACGTTCTAAATATGGTCGAATCTGACATTTTGTGTATATGCGAAGATGCACTGTCCAATGACAGTGGTGTACCTTGAACATCAACTGTCTCAGATAAATCTCGTTTTCCGTTTATACCCGCTATCGTAATGGTATTTAATCGATCATTTCCAAAAACGTACCCACTTTTTAATGACTGTTAATAACGGTGAATTGTAAAAATTATATTACGTACCTATTTCAGACTCTGAGAATGCGAGTAACTCACAAATGTAAAAAATCTGATAGGGAATGTATGCAACTGAAGGATAATCAAGAAGAATGCAACAATATCAAGAAAAGTATTCTAAAATTAGAGGATGAAATATTTGGGTCACTCTGTACTCAATAGTCAATAGACTCCTGTCCTACGGTAACATATTTTCTTTTGGATCACCCCTCGTACATGTATACATATCAACATAATTGTAATGTGTTTGTTTCAGGATATTTTGGCAAACTCTTTCGACAATGAGATCTACGGGAAACTTCCAGAAAAGGTGAAGTTCGATGACATAGCCTCCATCAAAAGCGATGCAACAGCGTGAATCACCGGCATGTGACGCGTGTATGTCATGTATTTTAATGGAATGTACAACGACTATAAATTGAAAATCATTTAACTAAACATTTGCTCTTGTAAATCCACCAAAACCAAGCTCTGGATTATCAGCTGGCAAACTGGATTATGTCTAATACGTTTTGAATAGATAGATATTAAAGACTGATATTAATAAATCCATCATTCTTATATTATACGTATCCTAGTATTAAGAGACAACTATTATATGGAGCATCGCATTTGTTACAGAAAAGATGAAACTATTTTCACGAACTGCTTTATGTGTTATTGCATTAACATAATTGCGAGGACCAATGGGAAGGAAAACATTTAGATCATAAAGCACCTCCTTTCTGCTGAATGACAATCGCTGAAATAGACAGCTAGACTGTAGCTCAGTGTATTGAGATTTAGGGTTATACTGTAACACACCTTTTAACACGGCCGTGTCGCAAGAGAATCGGCATGGAATTCTGCGAGCAAATCTTCCCTTTGGCTATGTTAATAAACATCCATTTACTTTTATATGTTGTTATAAAAACATTGTATGTAGCCCAGTCATATTTATGATATATGATGTGAAAATTTAAAACTGGCAATTTGTAATTCAAAACTACATTTAAGATGTGATCAACTTAAAAGTGGCCCAGTTCAGTGCAGTCTTATATATGATTATTTTACTATCAAATTTAAAAGTATACTAATATATATTTTAAGAACATTTATTATTTTGATAGCTTTTAAACCTCTTTGTATATATGTCCTATGTAATAGTTTTTGCACCTTTCGTGTCTTACATATCTGCTTATGAAATAAAATATTTTGCGCACATATTTCAAGTGTATTTTTATGTCACCACCAAATTGGTGACCTATTGTTATTGTCTTCATTTTTGTGACGGCGGTTTGCGTCTGACGATCGGCGTCTGTAACAAAATCTTACAACTTCCAACACCTTAACAGATACTGTTTAGAATGACTTCATTTTTTCAGTTCTCAGGTGGTAATGTTCATTTGAAATATCAAAAACTGAATATGTAGATGTTTTTAAATAAGAATAACAAGATTGAGCAAAACCAAACATTAAATAGAGAAGTGCAAAATCAAAGGAAAAATATCAAATAATAAATTAAAAAGTTGAACAAAGACCACAGGTACTCACCTAGTTACGCTGACGATACGTCGACGATACGATTGCCAATGTGACAATATTCTTGTAGATCGTCAACGTAACAAAAGCGAGGGACTAAATATGTGAATTGCGTCTTACCGAAAACGAAGCCCGGAAGTTCTTCCATCTTTTTACGCTGACGTATCGTAATAGAACCATTATATGCAATCGCAATAGAACCATATATATACAGGATTGAAGTACAACCGTTCCGTTCGTACGTCCAGCTCGTCATAAGTACGTTGTCACTCGTTTTTATTGCAGAAGGTGATGACATCAGAAAATGTTGAACATGCTCTAAGTTCTAGAGGATCTACAAGTTCGAGTACGAAGTATGAAGTTTGCAAATAGACACTAAACGGTTTTTAGTACGTTCAATCCGTTCGTACACAGTTTAATAAAACTGGCTTAATCTGGCTGTGTTTGGGGCATATGTCTAAAAATAATTAGCTACTTCGTTTAAAAACTGTCATCAATACTTCCATCTACTTCGCAGTTCGTCCAGGACGTACCATGTCAGTGTGCAAACGTAGTTGCAATTGATATCTGATTGCACAACTAGTAGGATCCTTAGTAGGGTCGAAGTACAGCAATTACCTTCGTAGTCTAGTTGGTCATTTCGTTTGAAGTACATTGTCACACGATCTGTATAAATATAAAACGGTATGGTCAACGTATATCTAAAGCATAGACAAACCAATCAATATTTTTGCATGGTCTTGTAGTCAAAACATGTAAGTTTTCTCCTTTATTCACAGTTTTTAATTCAGTTTCGCCTTTTTGATACGTTAACCCTTTACCTTTTACACCACATAATCAATGTAACCTCATATTTGCTTAACCTTTTCAAAGAAAAATGAATTTTTAAAGTTGATGATATAAATAATTTTTAAACCACATGATATAATTTTCATGTAGATTTCAAATATGATATCACTTTGACTTAATTTTGAATATCTAATGATGTACATCAAGATTATTTCTACTTTCATCAAGACTTTTAGTTGCGTAAATATAATAGGAACAACAATATTTCGAAAAATTAAATACATTTAAACATAAATCATCGAAGTCGCCGCTTGGTATTTGTCAAAAAACCAACGCGTTTCGTGGACGCCCTAATGTCATCATGGGTCATCATTTAAAGAATGACACTGAACATCCGTCGCACTGAACGTTAATGTACTTTTCAGACACAATGACTAGAGTGTGCGTCATCGGAGCGGGCGTCAGTGGACTAGTTGCTATAAAATCATGTGTCTAGAGGAGAAACTACAAGTCACTTGTTATCAGTGAGCAACATAATAAACTAGGCAAATGATGTTTTGTGATACGAATCAACAAGCTGTTATGCCAATCTATATTTCATAATTTATCTTTATCTCAAGTTTCTTACAAGATCCCAACCCTTGACCAGTGTATCCATACCAGTGCATTAGAGCAAAAATCTATGAATGATACAAAGTATAAAATCAAAATATTCTTGCTTATTGGATCGGTTAATTGATTGATTAATTAATTGAGTGATTGCTGACTGATTTATTAATCGATTGATAGATGTTTTCTTATCCTATCACACCAAACTAGTTCTTAACCGTTCTTGCCAGTCCTACGAAAACGTCGTAAAACGGGCTCAATCTGGCTGTGGTCGGGAAATATGTCTAAAATAATTAGCTACTTCGTTCATAAACAGTCTTCAATACGTCCATCTCATTCGCAGTTCGTTCAGGTCGCACCACGTCGGTGTGCAACGTCGTATAACGCGTCCTTTGGTCTAGAAGGTCATTATGACCTGATTACAGAACGGTATGGTCGCCATCGAATTTTGAATCGATTCAAAATTCTAAAATCACCTTCCCGTCTGAGAACGTTCATGAAGTTCGTAAATAGACCTTAAAAACTTGCAGCTACGTTCATTCCGTTCGCACACAGTTTAAAACCAGTTTTGAAGAACGCAGTGGCAACTTGTTTGGTGTGATAGCTATATTTTTGCTAACTCGTTCATAAGCAGTCTTAAATACGTTCTTAATCAGTTTAAACCCGTTTGCAATTAGTTCTACCTCGTTCTCAATACATCCTCAGACAGTGCAACTCGTTGTTAAAACGTCCCTAGTAGGATTGAAGTACGACGGTTCCATTCGTAGTACGTCCAGCTCGTCGTTAGTACGTTGTCACTCGCTCTAATTGTAGAACGTATCGACCACGAGAACATTTTGAGCATAAGTATAAGAGAACCTACCCGTTCGAGTACGTTCGATAAAGTTTGTAAATATACCCCAAAACGGTTCTAAGTACGTCCAGTCCGTTCGTACACAGTTGAAGCCCGTTTTCGAGAACGTAGTGAAAACTAGTTTGGTGTGATAGTAGGGTAAGGGACTACACCGGCTGATTCACATTATTTACATAATTGATTAATAGGTGGCGTGTGGTACTATACCGACGAAGTGAGACCGAACCAAGGTCCAGGTGCATATTCCAAATTAATTCCCAATTCAAGCAAAGATATGATGGCGTTTAGTGATTATCCAATGCCCCCAGATATCCCCCGTATCTTCCATGGGAGAAATTCACAGAAGTGAGTTTCATACTTTAACTTTTAGGTTGTTACATGGCGGAATGCTACTGTAACTATAAAAACCCGCATCTTAATATAAATACATGTATGTTTTTCTCTAATAACTTTTAATTTCTTTCTGAGAACTTTTGAAACAATCTTGATCTGATTTCCTGTTCAATGTACATCTGAACTGATACTATGCTACTGCGGATACTACCAGAAACAATGTCATGTCATTTTGATTATTATCGAGTTCTATCGAGTTGGACTGATTTTTTCACTTTGCTTTATTTTCAATAAACCAGTACAACCATAAATATGAACTTTGTGAAGTCTTGTCCTATTGTCCATTATCAATTGTACAATGGTTAGTTTTGCTTTTACAGGCATATGTTAGTATTGGTGATGGGACTTGGGTCCTTACCAGATCAGTTCAGAATGGACTTCCAAGTGATTTCATGCTTCGACGATTCCCCATGAAATACGTTCCACAAAGTGTTCTGAGTTTGGGGTATCAAATCTGTTGAATAGAGAGGCCCTTACAATGACTTTATTCAGAGAGATCAGACATTGAACAAAGTGCTTTCACTGGAATTCTTGTGTGGCCCTTGCTGTACGTGGAGGGGCGCAATCTTTTTGAGACTATGTAGTGTTCTCATTTGGATATCAATCAGTCTTCATAACTCTTGAAGGTGAAACTCAATTATCAATTGCTAAATCATGGTGATAATATACCTGGTTCTCTTTGACTGTTCTGTCATCTTCATCGTAGAACTTCTTTCTCTGGGACTATTTGAAGTAGCATTTTAAGCTTATCCCAAGCCAAAAGACCTAAAACAACTTAATGTCAACATCCAAAGAGAAATTCAAGACATTCAACAAGAAATATTATCAAATGTAATGAACAATGTAGCATAAGGATGCGGGATCCGCTGTCATAGAAATATGAAATAATAAGTAAAGGGTAAAACATCAAAAAGGCAAGACCGAACTGAAAACTGTATTGGGGAGAAAACCTAACGTACATGCTTAAGCTACATGACCATGCAAAAATGTTTGAAAATATTGATTGGTTTAGCTTTGCTGTTGATATACTTTTGGATACATTTTTGAGACACCCTGTATACAAAGGTGGCCGATAAAACAATGAGACACAATGTTGTCACAATTTTTTTCTAGCATAAAGCTGAAAACTTGCATTGTTTCATTAGAAATTTCACATGCATGTACATAAATGTTCAAATTTTATACTACTATTACCTAATTTTATGACAAGTGGTTCATTCATATCTGCTCTTTTAAATTGAATATATATGAGTGTCCCATTTTTGCCTACCTTGTAGGTATATCTGAAAAACTGTTGATTGAATTTTCTCATGGTAATTCATATTTCAAATACCTGACATTTACTGATTGGATAAAAAGATGGCGGGTAGAAAAATAAAGTCACTTTATGACAATTGCGTTACTTCAATGGCCAATGGCCATATAAAGGTCGACATTGAAAATCATATATCGATTTTTGAAAGGTCAGTTTAGGTTAAAGGTCATTTTTTCAAATAACCTCTTCGAAATCCATATTTAAGGAAAGGTTAGCGAGCGAAACATTGTTTTCTTATTAAACATATGGAATATACGTATACAATAAAGCACTTATGGAGTGTAAAATATAAAGACTAAATTATAGATGTCGTATCATTATATCCATTTGTGCCTGCATTAACTAAATCCTAAATTTCATAAGTAGTGCCATAGTAGTTTTCCGTATATCGTCGGTTGAATTTAGATAACTAAGAAAGGTTCACATAAAATAGTAGCGTTGCGAAGTAATTTTAACGTTTAGAGTATATTGGGACCAATAAGAAAGATTTCAATAAATGGTTCAATATCGTAAAAGGAAACTGGTGGGTTAAAATCAGCAGAAGAATTGCCCATGGAATTTGAATATATCGGAGTATGGAACAGGTATACAAGCCTATTTCGATCAAGACAAGCATTCGTATCGCAGCCTTTCTCATGCTTTTATTAAGAAATCTCAATTGTTCCATTTTTTCAGAAAACAGCTGAATTGTTCTGATTTTTCCGTATTTTGGCAATGCTTTT